AAGTAAGTGTTAAGGACAAGATTTACGAAGCTTGCAAAACAAGTTTTGTAAACCAATTATTCAATAGTTTGTATAGACATGATCAAAGTGTTAAAGGCAAGATTTCTTTTCTTTTAACTTATATATTAATAAGATCACCATAATAAATAATTAAGTGCCAGATCGGATAACAATTAGAGAATTTTATATATGACAAATAGGGGCTAATTTACATACAATAAATATAAAAAATATTGTCACACAAGGAAATCAAGTTGCCCATCGATCTTTTTTGTTTATACAACATGAATTTTTATTTGCCAAAAAAATAAACGATATAATATAAAATGAAAAATCAATTTGCTTTAATTGATGCAGGTGAAATTATTAATTCAACTAATTAATATTATTATATTTTTTCAGATAATAAAAAAAAGGATGTGATTGTTACAAATCAAGAATTTGCAGGTAAATGTACTATTGGAAAATTTGCATTATTTTTAAATTTTGATTAATATTTTAATAAAATATATTTTTTGTTGATTTAGCTGATCACTTTCCTCTCTCTAAGGGTTGGGCACTTAAAGCTAATCAAAAATTTGGACATAGAGGCTCTGGTAAACGAATGTCACTACAAGTTATACAACTTCTTGAAGGTTTTTTTTTGGCTGGTACTTTAAATAAAAGTGATCATTATGATGCTGGATCAATGCATGCAGATTTGGTTGTAATGGTAGAAGAAGGTAACTTAGATAGAGATGAGATTCCAAAAACTGAAACAATTAACAATTGGATAAGTAGATATTCCACAGCATTCAGAAAAGAAAGTGCAAGAACAGCATTACAATCAAATTCTGGAAGTAATAAAGTTCAGTAAAAAAGCTTTTGTGAATAAATGGAATTGATTTTAATATTAATATTGCGTAATAAAAAAATCCTATTGAAATATGATCCCCATATTTTTGTTTTCATAAAACTCGTACCCCAAAAATGTTACTTTTTTTACTGAAAAAAAAAAAGGAAATCTACCTGCCCCATCTAAAAAAAATTTTTTCACTTGTTAATGTTTAAACTCTTTTTATATTGCAAAATTAGAGATATATTACATAATTATATTAAAAAAATTTCGAATTTCTTTGTTCTTTTATTATTATTTTATTTTATGAATATAGTACACTAAACTTTTTAAATAGTAAATTTGCTGCAAATTTTTACTATGCAGATCCTCTAATTCTTATCCGATGTACCACTTAAATGAATAAAGTCAGAGGTAAAACACCTTTTAATTTAATCATTATTGTTGCTTACTTATATTCTAACTATTATTTATGTATATAGGAATAAAAAGAAAAATTTTAATATCTATTTATTTATTATATATTAAATAAATAATGTTGCTATAAAAGACATACAGTGCGAATCATACTCAAAAGTTAAAATTTTTGTGATCCACACATTGGATTTTAAAAAACTTACCACCATTCAATTCAGCTTTAAAAGGGGAGTCTATTGATTTAAAAAAAAAATTGTCTCGAATTTTCTTTTCATAGGTTTTTTTAAATTTGAAAGTTATGCTCAAAAAGTGCAACAATAATTTTCGTGTTACAATATATTGAATCTCACGACCAATTTGGTAATGATTTTCTTTTAATGTAATATGTTCGTTAAACTTTTTTGTTGTAAAAAACTTTTATTTATTAATAAAAAAAAGGAAATAA